AATACTATTTCCCTATCTGTAATCAGTTTAAGATATCTGCAACAGCTGCTAGATGGGCTGTTATACCTGCTTTTAACACTGCTCTCTTCCAAGCCAGGGCACTGCTACTGCCTACTCTTCTGGTAAGGACTGTCTTGTTTCTCATTCTCTAATTGGTTCCTCTTCTATTGATAATTAGATATACCCACAGCACAGGCTGTGATCAACTGGAAGATGACCAAACTATGCAATCCAGAAAATGAACATTTAAACATGAGCCCTGGCCAGTGGCACAGTGGTTAGAGCATCAGCCCGTGCACCAAAGGTTGAGGGGTGTGCTAGGGTTGCAGGTTTGATCCCTGCCTTAATGTGTCTCTCACACTGATGTTTCTCTCTCTCTCCCCCCACTCCACTCTCCCTGAAAAGCAATGGGAAAATATCCTCCGGTGAGGATTAATCAAAAGAAACTTAGACATGAAAAACAGAAGGATGCGAGGAATGGTCCACAAGTAAGAGAAGCGTGTGTGTAATATGGTGAGTCCATCTCCTTGAAGATTAAGAAAGAGGTTAGGAAATGTATCGTCATCTAAGGAAGAAATATTTCTTAGAGAAAAAGGAAGTTAGAGGACTACCTCAGGGAGAGGTAGAAACACAAGACCAAAGAGAAAAGTTGTGGGATAAGATAACGATCTCAAGACTGTGGAGAAGAAAATCAGTAGTGATACACCCACATTCTCCTAGAATCCACATTAACACACAATATATTATAACAATCTCTATTCCATGGGGACAGGAGACGGAAAGAAGAGGCTATTTACATACCTTACAAATGTGCTGCAAGACCCACGCGCAGCCTGTGGCAGAAGTTCTACAAAGTGCCTTGAACTTCTCGGATGAAAGGCGCTATAAAACATTTAAAAAACCAGGAATTATGTCTATTCATTTCACAAGAAAAAATACATAGCACAATATGTAAATGGGCTTGCCCAAAGTTCCACGAAGTAATTTAGATTTCAAGAGAGGAAAAAAGTGCAAAATTTAATTTTTAATTGACACACCATAAAAATGTATCACATTTAAACAAGTCTTGGCATCTTTCACTTAGCATAATGTACACAAACAACCTTATTTTCTGGACATTATAAATGAATGTTGCCCTTTTAAAAGCAAATATCAAAAACAGATAAATCCTATGTAAATTAATTTTCCAACTTTTTTATTATAAAATTTTTCAAACACACAGCAAAGTTAAAAGAATTTAACAGTGAACACCTGCATCCCTGCCACCTAGACTACCAGAAACACTTTAATGACTTGCTTTATCAACTATATTTCCTTTTTCATACAGGCATTACAGAGAAACCATAGGCCAAAGGCAACTGTCAGAAAAGTCAATGGCTTAAAAAAAAAAATAGGTCAAGGAAATAAATAATAACAGGAAATCTTTGATATTTTTGTCAGAAATTATTAGTATTAGCTTATTAAAGTCAGATCTACCTTCACCCTCAATGAACAATTCTAGCCACTTATTTGTTTAGTATTAGATCATAACATTCTCCAACTAAAAGAAAAAAATCTAATTTCTCATCTCAGAACAAACCTGAAGAACTTCCCATGTTCTAAAAGCCGTACGTGATCTGGTCCCTCCATCTTTCTACTTTCATTTTATCTCTCACTTTTCTCTTTACTCCAAACCTATTTCACCGACTCCTTATTTTCTCCTCTTTCCCTTCACTTGAATATTAAGATACTGTGATAAATATGCTTATTGAATATATTTAGTTTACCAACCCTCTTTAAAATAATCAAGCTCCATTTGGTATAAACTGCAAAGTGCTGCAATTTAACAGAGTGTATCTCTCATATTTTGATGATTATCAGCTATAAATATGTCAATGCCCACCTGATTTTCAGCCACGTGACTACCATAATTATGAGCATACAGGCTGTCACTTATTACTGCAGCCCCACAGATTAAAAATAAATCACTTGAAATAGAAACACTTGAAATAAGAGTTTTATGGTAATTAATAACTTTAAACTGTTTTGGAAATTTTAATTTATTAATCCCACGAGTACTTAACAGTGAGCATGTCCCCAAAATACTCCAGGGTATAGTAAGACACATCAACACAAGTTTAAAATGTAGTTACATTAATGTGTAGGAACAGGTGCTTAAAGGAATAAACTGAGTGGCAAGGGAAGACGAAATACTTAGGGGCCTTTTAAACTACAAGTATGTGATTACCGCCCAGCAATTATGTACCATTTATCATTATCACTAGTAGCCATAATGCAATGAAGCCCAAGGTGCTGTCTATAGAAGCCCAAATTGGTTCTCTCAAAAGCTGAAATATCTCTCTCTTCTGACAGAGCTAACATCCACCTCGCAGCTTTAGGACAAATAAGACCCGAAGAGCAACCACTTCCTCCTCCTGTCACTGCGTGGACTCCACCCCACGGACAGGAAACACCTGAAGATCTACCTGTTTTCCTCTAACAGCTCACACCCCCACATGACCGGGGTAAACCTTTAAAAGAAGTTAACTGACAAAAAAGGAATCAGGACTATGAAAATACTCCAACAAAGCCACTACCACACACACAAGGAATTTTCTACATGATATATGTAGTTTCTGCCCATTCTACCTCAAAATCAATAAGCAAAACGAGCACAAAGCTGCCCAATAACATCTTAGCCTGACCTATAAATTAAAAATTATGTTGCATTTGGAGCAGGGAAGTCTGGGACTCCCTGTGGAAGAAGGTGGTCCCTCCACAGACCCAAAACCTAAAGCCAGGACTAGGCAGGGACGGGGCATATATATTGACTTATCTATTCCGATCAGCTGCTACAGGATCACCCGTTACAGGGAGGAGGGCACCTTAGTTAAAGAACTGAAATTTGTTTGGAAAACGAAATTTTCAGATTTTTCCAACATATGTAAAATCAGCAACATACAAACGGAGAGAACACCGGAATGAGCCGACTCTAAGCAAGCCGTTGGGGAGCGCACGGAGAACTCCCTCCAGGAAAAGAGCTGTGGTCTGTACCTGGCTGGACGTGACCGAAGACATTTACTTGGGTCTTTAAACTGAATTTCCTCATCTGCAAACGGGGCTGGGCTACGAATCCTGAAGATTCCTTTCCCGACCCAAATTCGGGATCTACGGAAAAGTCGCATTCCCACTCTCTTCTTCCTCCCACTGCAGGTTTTTATGCGAATAGAAGCTGTAAATCTCGGATTAGAGTGTGACTCAAAGCAAGTCCCATGGTACGCGCTGTACGTCCCCGGGAGCCACCAGTGCTCTGCCACAGGGGGTGGAACCGAGAGACCCTCCGGCGAGTCACCCTTTGCACCGAGCGAGCCCGGACGTTCAGTCCAAACAACGTCACTGTGTCAAACTCTCAGGACAACATCTCCACCAACTTAGCCGTGTCCAAGGGGCCTCCCTGCAACTGCACAGACACCTTACACAGCCGGGCGCGCAGCACCAAGTGGCTGAAAATTTCTCACCCTGAACAAACTGAAGATTTTTTTTTTTTTTTTTTTTAGTATTTTCTCCCCCATTCAGACCTGGCAGGGAGGAATACAACCTGATTACACACTTGCAAGTTACTTCAAAAGGCTGCCTTCAACACAAAGGAACCAAACCCGCCACCAGCAGGGGTTCCGGGTTTAAATCGGGCCCTGGCCGGGCACCTCAATGGTTAGCGTGCCCAGGCAGCCAAGGTCTGGGGTTCGATCCCCAGTCGGGGAACACACGCCCAACAGTTAATGAGCAGATGGGTAAGTGGAACAAATCAATGTCTCTCTCTCCAAAAGTCAACAAACACGTAAAAAAAATAACTGTAATCAGGACCACTGAAAAAACACGAGTGGAACCAGCTGCCCGGTGAAAAGGATGCGTTTCCCACCGCCACCCACTAACCAGGATTCTGACCAAATCAGTTCGCGTGCAAACAGCGCTCCTCCTGAAGGCGACCTGGAACGGGGTCCGGCCTGACACGGGGTCCAGCCGGGACGGGGTCCAGGCTGACACGGGGTCCGGCCGTGACGAGGGACGGATGCTCAGGGGACGCCTGGTCAGGGCAGCAACTTGGACCAAGCAAAGTTGCAAATCAATGCTATTTTGATGAGACATCGTTTAAATTACTTAAACCATGAAAAATGGCTTTCCTGGGTAACTCCCCTCTTGGCAACACTGAAGAATCCTAACCCCCAGGACTTCAGTGCTATCTTTTACTTACACCACCTCTCAAAACGCTGCATTAAATAGAAAAAATCTACCCAAAACATAACTGGACTTCACCCCGTGTAAACCGGTGATTCATGTTTCACGTTCAATGTAAGAGACAAAATGGAGTTGTAAGAGTTTCTTTCCCGTTGCAACTCCCGCAGGCACGCGCGCTGGGCAGCTCGGGGCCCCCGCCCTGCCGGCCGAGAGAGAGGAAGCGCCCGGGACCGCGGCGGGCGGGCGGGCGGGCGGGCGGGCGGCGGGGCTCCGCCAGGCCCGGCCGGGCGGGGGAAGGGGCGCGGGAGGCCGCCGGCGCGCTTCCGGGAACTGGGCGGGCGGAGCCGCCGCTTCGGGGAAAAGGGCCCGGAGTCCGGGTCAGGGGCCGGGGCGGCCAGCTTGGAGCAGCAGGTGGGGCGCGGCCGCGGCCGGGCGTCGGGCGGGCGGCCGGAAGAGTGCGGGGCGGGCGGGCCCGGGGCGCCGCGGCGCCAGGAGGAAGCCCTCTCACTCACCTCGAGAGACGCTCCGACTCCGGCCTCTCTGCGCCGACGACGCCGGTCCGCGTGTCCCAAGCTCGGAGACGAGGGCGGGCGGCTAAGGAGGCGGCGGACTAACGAGAGAACCGACGGAGGACGGCGGGCGGCGGGCGGGGAGCGCGAGCGAGCGAGCGAGGGCGGGCGGCGCAGGGCGGGCGGGGAGCGACGTGCGCGCCCCCGCGTGCCCGGCGGGCTCGGCCTGGCCTCGGTCGTGGCCCCGCGCACGCGCGCGCGCTCCCAGCGGAGCCACGATTGCTCGGGAGAGCGTCCCCGCCCTCCGAGCCGGGCGCTGGACCAATCATGGCAGCCGCGCGAGGCATCACGGGAACTCGGGGGCTATAAAAGACCTGGTTGCTATTTTGTGCTCCCCGAGTCACCCGTCCTTTAAGCGCGCGGGGCGGTGCTTGGTGCGCGTGCGCGGCCTCGCTACCCCTCCCAAACTGCCAACTCTGCGCGCAGGCGAGCTGGGCTCGTTCTGCCTTGGTTTACGCGTGCGCCCAGCGGGCTTGGCCCCGGAAGACTAGGCGCCTGCGCAGTGGGGGCTAAGGTGACAGCCCTCCGGGTGGGGCGCGGGTCTGTCATGGCGGAGCCCTGGTCTGGGCAGTCCTTGCAGGCGCTGCCGGCCACGGCGCTGGGCGCTCTGGGCGCCCTGGGCAGCGAGTTCCTGCGAGAGTGGGAGGCGCAGGACATGCGTGTGACCCTCTTCAAGCTGCTGTTGCTGTGGTTGGTGCTAAGCCTCCTGTGCATCCAGCTGGCGTGGGGGTTCTACGGGAGCACGGTGACCGGGCTGTACCATCGCCCAGGTGAGGCCCCCCGCCAACCTCCGTGGACTGGCCGCCCTCACACCCAGCGGGATGTACCGTTGGGCTCCCCAGAACCCCCTTAGACTACCATTGGTCCCCTAGGAACCGTATCGCAACTTAACGCTGTCCTCTGACCCATGCCAACATACCATTTCACGCAAGAAACGCCAGTATCCACTCATCTCGATATAACTCTTTTTTTGAGCCCTCACCAGACAATGCACTAGTCCCTTAGGGCCCCCACCAGACCCTCCACCAAACGCCACTGGCCTCTAACCTGCCTGGGCTGAGGCCTGCTCAGACCCCCAACTCAGCCCGCTGCAGCTCTGGATGTGTTCCTGCCCCCAGGTCTGGGCGGCCAGAACGGATCCACACCCGATGGCTCCACGCATTTCCCTTCGTGGTGAGTAAATCTGTTCCCATCTCAACCCCGTCCTGGCAGGCAGAGGGACACTCCTGTGCTGGGGACTGGGGAGGGAAGTTCTCAGGGCAGGAGTCCTCCAGTTAGTGGCGTTTGCCGGAAGCTCGGACATCAGCAAGTAGAGCTCAGGTGTCAGGTGGCCAGGATGTCGGAACAGTCCGTCATCGGTTTGCTGTTCAGCACCCTGTGGGGTGGACCGTGTCATTCACAGTTTCAGAGATGAAATGGCAAGTGCCTTCTCTGCACTCCACTGCAAGCCCCGCCGCTGGAAGGCCGGGCCTCTTTCCTCCGTGCACTGCCTGCCTCATCAGGATCAACCTGCTCATCTGTGAAACATGGGCCCAGTCGTCAGGGCATCTTTCAGCTAATCTCTGGGCTCCCACCACCTGGCAGGGACCAGAGAGCAAGGTTAACCCAGGCCCTGCTTACAGGGGAGCCAGAGATTTGAAGGGGGGTGGGGGGAGCAGTGCAGGGGTGAAGGTGGTTGGAGGTTTCTCTTAAGAAAGACACTTAAGCTGAGGGCAAAGGCTGACAATGGCTCAAATAGGCCCAGAGGCAAGAACAAGGTGACATATTGGAGGAACAGACAAGGCGGTGATGCTGGAGCTCCAACGTGAAGGCCTGGAGGGGACCGCAGAGCCCTGGCCAGCCCTGGCCGGGGGTGGGGAACATCAAGTGTTTGACCAAGCAGAGCAGGCTAATTTTTAAGTTGATAATTTTGTATGGCCCGTGAAAGGTGTTATAAATACCCACATGGCCCTGGGCAGGAGAAAGGCCCTGGCCTAGACTTTTGGGAGCTATTGAAGGACTGAGTCACATGGGGCCATGGCTCAATCTAATTTGCTTTTTCATCTGCCTGCTTTGTGGCAAGTACATAAAGGGGTCCAATTAGGGCAAGGGGTCAATTAGGAGACCTGCACTGCCCAGGCTTTTTCCTCGGGCAAATGGGGAAGGATGGAAGTGCCCTCCTGAGGTCGGGGCAAGGTGCTGGGCCCAGGGTGGGCTGTGGGAGCTCAGAGAGGTTTGGGTTGTGGTGTGGCTCTACTGAGCTCCACTCAGCCCCAGGAGCAGGAGAACCCAACGTCAGGGACCGTCGTGCTGCCAGCTGACTAACTCTTTCTTCTCTCCATCACCTTCAGGGAGACAGCAGCAAACGAGCCTCTCAAAACCCACAGAGAATAAGGGAGGCAGCAGAGGGTCTCCAGGGACATCTCCGGGTCTGCCGGCTCCCACACTGGGTCCTACTGCTGCCCAGGCCCCAGGGACGACTGCAGGGGCGTCAGGGTTGGGGGGTAGGGAGTACCCCAGTTCTTGTGGAGTTGGGCCCCACTGCCCTGGGCATTTCCTCCAGCAGCCCGGGCACTGGGCCAGGAAAGAGTTTCTCTCCCCTGATCTGGTGCCTTAAGGAAAGCAGGCATGCTGCTCTCTCGGTCAGTGTAGAAGCCTCTGGGTTAGGAAGGCCAGCAGCCCATTTCCTGTCTTGGCTTTTTCCTGTCCCTCTTCCCATCCCCCTGGGAGGTGACCCACAGGGATTTGTCCCTCACGAAGCCTGAGGTGACTCGCTCTGGGATTTGCAAGGGAAGTCTGTTTTCACTTAAACCATAGGTTTTCTGAATTTGGTTTTGCTGTGTTGGCAGGGACCCAGGAATCTTGGCCTGGACACAGCCTTATACTCTGTGGGTACTTAGTTGGCCATTCAAGTATAAGTAAGGCAGGGGCAGCTGGCACCATCCAGACATGGAGGCACCAAACACCCAGCTTCCGGTCGCATCCAGAGCTCTCCAGGTGTGAGCCAGGCTATGGAAACTCTTATCCTGAGCATCATCCTCATATTCCTCTCAATCCTCGGAGGGAAGCTGGGTGCCTGGAAGAGGCTGAGCCCCAGGGTGACTTCCCACCCCAACACTTCAGTGCTCAGCGCCCCGGGTGGTGGTCTGCCCGCTGCCCCTCCTCGGGATCCCAAGCAGTTAGCGGAGGGCAGCCCTGCCCGCAGCCTCATCACTTCCCATCTTGACCTGGAACCACAGGAGCTTCGTCCTAAGAGCGCGCTCTCGGGCTCAGGCCCTCCCCACTAGCGCCATCTCAGCCCCCAAGAACTTTTAAGAGGGCAGAGCCACAGGCGAGGCAGGCCTGCCACTTCCCAAGTAGGCCAGGGGGCCTGCCAAAGCGATGGGCGGCAAGGCCAGTTCCTGAAGGCATGTGGCCTAGACCTGCCTCCGGGCCGTCTGCCTGCCCCCCGTCGGTGTCCCATCGCCATCTGGCAGCCTGTGCCTGGACCGCCTGCACAGGGCGCTGAGCTCCCGTCCGGTGCTTACTGCCAAGACACCGTCTGCCGCGGGGTGATGGTCTGGCAGCCCCAGGTGACCCACTGACGCCACCACACACACAGTCGGGGTCTCATTCCACTCGAGGCTCAACTGAGGACGTGGCTATTAAACATGGAAGTGCATCGTCTGTGTGGTTATTCATACAGGACAAGGGTGTGCGTGCATGGGAAACGAGGGAATACCCCAGGGCTGTTGCCCCTCAGCACCCAGAATTTAATGACTTGTGAAGTTGGGGGGTTGATGCCAGCTCCCTAAAGTAGTACGGGGTGCCCAACACGGGCACTATCCCATTAGTCCTTATAGACCTGCCCCGCTCTAGGGGCACCCCCTGAGCCTGTCCCAGAGGCCAGGAAGCAAGCATCGGGGTGGCACCCCAGGAACCCTGTGGGCAAAGGACAGTGAAGCTAGACTCTGACAGGAAGAAGGAAGCTCGTTTATTTTTTAGGAGTCAGTGGCGTCCAGTAACAGGCCACAGGGGCACAGGTCAGGCCAGGGGAAGGCAAGCCCAGGAGGAGGCCCAGCCTGCCCTACAGCAGCCCTGGGCTCAGAACAGTGGTGAGCCTGGCTGGCTTGCCGCTGGGCAGCAGGCTGGGCCAACTTGTGCCCCTCAGCCATCCCCGAGTTTGCACACGGGCGCAGCAGCCCTCCTGAGCCAAGCCTCCGGGTCAGGAATCAGTGCTGCCCAGGGAGAGGCAGCGGTTTGCATTCATGGGAAGTAAACCAGAGCAGGTGGCTGGCATTGCCCAAGGTCACGCCCTTGGAAGTGTGAGAACCGTGTGAGGTAGGCTGGGCAGCTCGATCCTCCTAAAGGTGAGCCTTTGAGGCACAGGCAGCACCCGGCAGAGAGGAAACGCGGGGACTGATGCTGCTCAGCCCTCAGCAGGTGAGAGTGGGCCCGCGGGAGCGTGGGCAGAAACGACATTGGTGAGCTGGTCCATCACTAAGAAATCGGTCTTGAAATTGAAGTGGCACAGGGTGAGGGGGTACAGGTGGTGTGTCCCGCCCAGAACCAGACAACCAGAACCAGCCTACACCCTCGCCACCTCCCACGTGTCCTGCCTCAGCTTCCTGACCAGCCCTTGTAGAAGGCCCTCCCGTGGGGGGCCCCGCCCCCAGCCACCCTCACTTCAGGGTGTAGTAGTTTGTGGGCACGAAGGGCATCTTGCTGACCACAGCCACCTGCTGCTGCCGCCGCACCTGCACCAGGAGCGGGGTGCCCGGCCGGCTGTACTCGGAGAGCACGTAGCCCATCGCCACGTTCCTCTTCAGGCAGGGCGAGGGGCAGCCGCTGGTCACGGCGCCTGTGGGCAGAGACCGCGTGTCAGCCCCACCCGACAGGCCGGTGTCCCACCTCCCGGGGAAGGGACAAGAGCTCCAACCGCCCGGCCCACCTACCAATCACGGTGCCCTCCGCGCTCAGGATGGGGCTGTGTGGCCGCATCGGCGCCCCCTCGCACGTCAGCCCCACGCGCCTCCGCTGCACCTTGCCCTGCAGCTGGGGGACGATGACTGCGGCCCCGGGAAAGTCCATGGCGGCCCGGCGCCGCCGCCCTGCAGCGGGACACCGGGCCTCAGCACGGAGGCCCTTCGCCGGGGCCCCCAGGGGCTCTGGTCATCCCCTGCCGTGTGGTCAGCCTGCCAAGCGAGGGGCCCTGGCGGCTAAGGGGTGCAGCCACAGTGGCCCCTTCAGGGAATGAGGCTCGGGGAGGCGGTCACTGGCTGCAGGCTGCCCGCTGGCTGGCTGGTCTCTTACAGCCACTGCAGCCTCAGGGCCCCAGCCCCGGAGCCACCCCGCTCACCCAGCGTCCAGCCGAGGCTGCCTTCCACGGGCGTGGTGTGCTCGTCGATGTCGCTCCCGTAGAGGCAGAGGCCCGCCTCCAGGCGCAGGCTGTCCCGGGCCGCCAGCCCTGCCAGCTTCACCTCGGGGTTTCCCAGCAGAGCTGTGGCCAGGCGGACCGCCCCCGCCACTGGCACTGAGATCTGCGTGGACACCAGGGGGCCGTGGGTGTTGGCCCGAGTCCACCGCTGCCCTGCCCCCACTCCCTGACCCACCTCCACACCATCCTCTCCTGTGTAGCCACAGCGGGTCACGCGGCAGCTGGGCACGCCGAACACCTCCATCACGGCACTGGTCATGAAGGGCAGCTTCCTCAGGTCGTCCGCCACGCCGGCCTGGAGCACCCGGGCCGCAGTGGGGCCTGGGCCCAGGGAGCCAGTGACTAAGCGCCCAGGTCCCAGCGCCCCCAAAGCTGGACGGCAGCCCTTGCCCGGGGCCGGACGAGCCCTGAGCACCGTCTCCACTGCAGGTGGAAGAAGATGCTCCTGCCCGTAGCCCCCTGAGCCCTGGGGCACGCACCCAGCTTAGCATATGCACTCCAGTCCCACACGGCCCACACCTCCCCCGCTGCGGCCTCTGCCAGCAGCCCAGGAAGCCAGGAGGCAAAGGTCATGCCAACCCCGCGGCTGCTCACCTTGCAGGGCGAGCAGGGCATTGTCCACCACCTCCAGGCCCACGTCGCTGCCCCTGCTCTGCAGCTCCCTGACCTTGTCCTGACGGGAAGACGGGAGCACCACGTCGGCTTCCAGGGCCGTTTCCCGGCACCGCCAAGCTCGTAGGCGGCTCTCACCGCACAAGGTTGTGTGGGTGGCAGGGGTGACCCACGCCCGGTCTGCGGGCTCTAACACCAGCTCCGGCCTCCATCCTGACCAGAGCGTGCCCACCTAGGGGCCGGCTTGGCTCCCCTCCACCGCCCACTGACACCTGTCATGCTCCAGGGAGGGCCTGCTCTGGCCTCTGCCCATTCCCTCAGAGGTACTGACTGAGCCCCTGGTCCCTGCCAGGTCTGCCCTGGGCAGCTCTGTGAACAAGGAAGATGGGGCACCTAGAACCCAGGGCTGTACCTGCATGAGGGCCAGGTCCTTATCCCGGCAGCCAGCGTTGGACACCACGTACAGGTGTCCCTCCGAGGTGTTGGTCACAATCAAGTCATCCAAGATGCCCCCGGCCTCATTGGTGAACAGCGACAGGGTCCCCTAGCACCAGAGTGGAGCCACTTTGCATCCAGGTCCGGAAGGCCAGTGTCAAGTGTGAGACACACCCGGGGCCCACTCATCCCCCACAAATTCATGAACCCTCAGCACAGGGCAGGGGTGTGTGTGTGCAAGGAGCAAGGCTGGGTCACCCAGGCCGCTGCCCAAGCCCAGGGTGTTTTTGTTTGTTTGTTGTTAATCCTCATGGAGGATATTTTTCCATTGATTTTTAGAGAGTGGAAGGGAGAGGGAGAAAGAGAGAAACATCGATTGGTTGCCTCCCACACACACCCCGACAAGGGATGAGGATCGAGCCTGCAACTTAGGTACATGTCCTTGACCGGAACTGAACCCGGGACCCTTTAGTCCGTGGGCCGACGCTCTACCCACTGAGCCAACCCTGCCAGGGTGAGCCCAGGGTGTTTGATCCTCATGCTCCGAGAACATTTCCACTCCTTCCTCACCTTGGGGGACCTCCCTGAACTGGTAGGCCTCTGCACCCCTACCCACTCAGTACTGAGAGCCCCATCTCACACTTAATCCGTACTACCTGGGACTTGCTGCCCTATCCCACCCAAGCCCGGGACAGAAAGCCTTCAAGTCCATCCTGATGACCTCACGTGCTCCACGGCAGCGGCAGCGACGCCCCAAAGTGCTGAGGCTACCGCAGCCCCGCATGGGGGGGAAGGGGGAACCAAGGCAGAGAGTCATGCGGGACCTTGTTAAACGCAGGCTCTGCCAGGAGGCCCTCGCGGGACTGAGGGGACCCCTCACGAGCCCCTCGGTGACGGAGGCTGTGGTTCAGGGACTGCACGTGAACGGTGAGGGGCTAGGCGCACAGGTCACAGAACAGGAGCTGAGCCTGGGTTTCTGGCCTCCCAGCCTGATGTGGGGGGGCAGGGCGGGACAGGCCCATCTCCGAGAGGGTTGGCCATGACTCAGGGGCTCCATCCCCCAAGATCGCAAGCTGTGTCTGACCCCCACTGCGCCCTGAGCCCCAGGTGAGGACGTGCTGCCTGGTGACCAAGAACGCCCCCTGAGCAGGACCAGAGGGGCCCACCTGGTTTGGCCTCAGCTCTGCAATATCTCCCACCACCAGACTCTCCATCAGCTTCACCCGGTCACGACCATGTATCTTGGTCTGAGAAAAAAATCAAAAGCCTCAGGACAAAGTCGGGAAGCCCCCTGGCCAAGGAGCGTCCCCCCTGCTGTCCAGGGCCAGCCCAACCCGCCCAAGTGCCCCGTTGTGGTTCTGCAGGTGGCAAAGTCCCCCATGTCTGATTCCCCTAGATAGAGGAGGGGGTGCCATGGGGAGGGCCCAGCACCTTCCTCAAATACCCCCTTTCCCTTCCCAAACCAATACCAGGGGCAGTGGCTAAAAAACGGGGGCCAGCCGGGAAAGCCCAGGGCATCCAGGCCCCCCACTGGGCGGGGCGGGCTGCCGAGGCCAGAGAGGCGCCCATCCAGGGGCCCCCCCGAGTTGATTTCCCGTCGGGGACACCGGAGGCCTCCAAGCCCTTGTGAGGGCGGCCCTGGACCCAGTTCCCAGCACAGCCCGGTGGCGGCGGAGGCGGCGCTGCGGGCGGGGGCGTCCCGGGCGGCGCCCGGCTCACCTGCAGCATGTGGGACACGTCAAAGAGCGAGCAGTGGCGGCGGGTGTGCAGGTGGGAGTGGACGTGGCTGTCCCGGTACTGCACCGGCAGCCGCCAGCCCGCGAAGGCCACCAGCTTCCCGCCGTGGGCGAGATGGAAGTCATAGAGCGGCGTCCGGCGGAGCGCGTCCTGCGGGGCGGCCAGCTCAGTCCCGCACGCCCGCCCCGGACCCGGCCCCCGCGCCCGCCCGCCCCCGCCCCCCCCCCCCCCCCCCCGCCACCCCATCCCACCTGCGTGCCGCTGAGCCCACGGCCGGGCACCAGGGAGAGCGCCTGCCCACGGAAGCCCAGATGGGCCGCCGCGCTCGCTGCCCGCTGCATCGTGGCCTGGACCGCGGTCAGGGACGCTGGGAGATGTAGTCTGGCCCCTGGCCAGGCCCGTCTCTCCCCACAAAGGGGATCGGAAGGGGGGTGGGCAGCCCCGAAGGCAGGCGGGGCTTC